ATACACATTTTGTATTAATACCAGTATAACACCGGATCAATATGGTACATGATGCAAATTTTAAATAGGGTATTTTATACCCATACCGTACAGATCTGGTCATCGTAAATTGGTTGTAATGTAATTCGTTCTTTACATCAAAAAATATTCGAATCATTCTTTAAAAGGGATAAATATGAACTACTATTCATAGTTAAACCAAAAAAATTTGGTTTCTAATAATTCTATTAACTGACTTGTTCTACATAGCCAACTGATTCTATCCTGAATCGTGAGATTTCTCCCGTAATATGAAATTCATTAAAACCTTATTTTCACGTGAACAAAATGATTGTAAGTACAGGTCACTTGTGACAGAAGATAAGAGGAAAGTAATTTGTTGCTGTTCAAACCTTATTTTTAATGTCTCAGCTTAAATATCATAATTATTATGCATTTGATCAAGCGCTTTGTACTACTTTAGTCTCAAAGCCACGATTCTATATCAAAATTCTGTTGATGGCTACGTAATTGCAGGGCTTTTACTTAGCATTGGTCTGCCTTGACCATATTACTTTGTCAATTCATAGCATTTATTATCAGATTAAGGTTGTATCAAATCATTTTAATCTCAGAAATTAATTTGACGCACAACATATAAAGGATATTATTATATATTATCTTATATTATCCTTTAAATTAATCGAATATCCTAATTATTTAATCCGTTAATCAATTTTATAATTCGTTTATCCGAATAACTTAAAAGTTAACCAGTCACAATACCTTCTTACGATTTTTAAATTTTTAGGCGAACATTTTTTTAGGCTTTTTTTTTTAGTTTTGGACTAGGATTTAGGGTTAGGGTTTATAATAAAAGAGCATAGGTGGATTTTGGTAGAATTCTATTTTTAAATTAAGGTTCCCAGATTTCACGATCATCCGTGATAATTATTAACGACGTTCTGAAACAACAAATCCTCATTTCTCTAAAATATGTAAACGATTCTTTAAAATTAGTGGCTTTTTAACCTATGCTATAATCTATTCTTATTCGCCTTACTATATAATATGTGATATTAAGCCTATATTTCAAATTACTACTGATAGGATAGGAAATCAGAAAATCACGGACGATAACGACATGTGACTATTTGATAAATCGCGTTTAATCATTATTTCTATAACAATAAATCGCACTATATTATGAGGCTATTCAATATCAATCTGTCGGTATTAAATTTAAATTAAATTAATTTGTAAGCGACTCTAGAAAAGTTCTAGCCAAATAGGTTAGATCACCGAGCCTAAAAATTGATTACATATAATCTATTCGTCAAATTTAAATAATTATAAAGCACGGAGCCACGAAAATAATCAACCAAATAATGAATAATGATCAAACAAATTAATGATTTATTCATTAAAGAAAGAATATATTTATCACGAATTACTTATACCGTATAAACGCGTAATAACGCGCCCATGCGCGTTATTTCGGGACGCACATGCGAATCATTATGCTAATTTTGGAAAAAAAAAATTTCAACCACTAAAAACTTTCTTGAGACATCATAATAGAACCAGAAAGAGATACTTGGTTTTTTTGAACATAAGGCGAATAAATTCTAGATATATTGTTAATCATATTTAATATGATAATAAATAGGTTTCAGATTTAGAGGTTGAACCTAAGCTTATTATATTCAAATTTATTTGAAGATTCAAAATAGCACGTGAAAGATAATTTGGGCGCGTTGTTTTGAAACGCACATGGGCGTTATTTTAGTCAAATATGCCATTTTTGCGTTATTACGCGCTTATACGGTACAAAAAAAAGCCCAAGTTTAATTATAAATAAAAGGAATTACAAAGGTGATTAAAATGATAACACTAATCACTTTGCCCTTATACTAACATTAAAGCCCATCAAAAAAAGTATCTATTTTTCTGTCTTATACGCCTTATGTCCCATATCACACGAAGAAATTATTATATAAGGGGGTGCCAATAGAAACCAAGCAAATTGTTTTTAGTGAGTTTTTTTAAAATTTTAAATCAAAATATCTCAACAACTATTAAACTAAACTTGATAAAAATTTTTTTATTTTAATTCTATAACTACATAAAATTAAAATAAAAAAATTTTTTTATTTTGGTTTAATAGTTATTGAGATATTTTATTTTAAAGTTTTAAAAAATTTACTTAGAAACAATTTGCTTGTTTCTACTGGCGCCCCCCATATACAAATTTCTTATTTAATTAGACTTCACTGAAACAAATTGAATCCCTTTCACTCATTACTCGACGAAAATTATAGAATATGTAATAAGCCAAAAAAAAAAAAAACTATATACTACCAGTTTTAAAGTTAAGTATTAACTGAAGATAAAAAGTAAGTACATAGGCACTGAAATATATATAGGAGGAAACAAAATAATGAGTTCCTTTCACTATTTTGTTTCGAAGTAGAATATAAAATTATAAAGACTAAACTAAAATGTGTCAAATTTATAGTAGTAACAAAAAAAAAAGTGACGAAGAACCTTCTTCGCTTTTTATTTTTACGACGCGTACGTACTTTGAGAAAGAGAAGATAAAAAGCAAGTACACAGGCACTGAATATATATAGGAGGAAACAAAATAATGAGTTCCTTTCACTATCTTGTTTCAAAGTGAGAATAAAATTTAAGTTTGAAAAAAAAGTAGAAAGAAAGGGTATATATTAGAAAACCAGGTCATGGTTTTTGACGCGTCAACCCTTTTTTTTGCGTGTAAAATTTCCAGATTAGGCATTCATGGTCATGACGACAAAAAAATTTTCGGTGCTGCTCACTTCACCGACAATCATTTCACCGAAAGTTCACTTCGTCGACATCACATAGGGTTAGGTTATTAGTTGCAGGTATATATTTTTAGTAAATTATGTCAGCTAAGTGAAGTAAAATTTTTTAGTCATCGACAATACAGCAATTATACATGTGGCCGAAATGTTTTGGCCATTTCGGCCACTTGGCAAATGTTCAAAGCAAAGCTGCCAATAATCGGTAAATGTGATAAAAATTAGACTTCATATATGTTAAGCCGGATCCGCAGAATCTTATGCAAGCCACTTTGGCATCTCAGCAAGACCTTTTGGTATTTCAAGAATTTCGGAAATCCATACTTAATATACAGCCGAAACTTCCAAAGCCTGCCGAAATACCAAAAGGTTTTGCTGAAATACCAAAGGGGATTGCATAAGGTTCTACGGATCTGGCTTAACATATATGAAGCCTAATTTCAATCACATTTACAAATTATTGGTAACTTTGCTTTGAACTTTTGCCAAGTAGCCAAAATGGCCGAAATATTTAGGCCACAGGCATAACAGCAATATATGATAATATATACATCATATTATAAACTGCGGATTTACCATATTGGTTTGTGCACATGTCTAAAACCAGTTTAACGATAAAATATATGACACTACTAAATAGATTTAAAAGGCTTGATTTCACGAATGATAAAAATACAATCACTTGCTTGAGTCAGAGCAATATTGAGCCAGCAAAGTGCATAATGCTAAATCGATCAAGTTTTCTGAAGGATATTGTAGTAATCTTAAGTTCAGAGTGACCAGCTATAAAATAGTGTTAATATACAATCACATGACTACTGCGACGCTAGGGTTATGTTTTGAACCTATTAGTTCGTTACAGCCGGGGTTTCTGTGTATAAATGTTCGATACAAGGGGAGGCAACGTATTAAAATCAATAAATCGGCAAACAATAATTTTAAGCCCTGTACGTAAATGGTTCGTTAGATTGTGTGAATATGAAGAATACACTAGGAAAGCTGCTTAACGTCTTAGATTTGGAGTATTTTATTTTGAAAATTTTAGTTATCTGTTATGTGATACAGCTAAGATTTCTAAATCTTACACAACATACGTACGTACGTCGTACATACGTAACGTACCTTTAATTATCTGTATACGTACTGTACGTACGTATGCACATACATGCCTAATAAATCAAAAGTTCTTCCCCTCCTGCAAATTAACTTTTAGATAATAATGCGGGCAACTTTCACTGTTAAACATCAGTCAAAATCAATCCCGTCTAAAAACTCTATATTACGGACTCAAAAAAATCTTGTTTTATTTCGCACTACATTTTACCAAGTATTATGTAATCATAATCCAAACATAATTGCTTCGGATAATGACTTTATAGAATATCTAGCTGAGCAAGTTTGGAATCTAGATATTTTATCACTAATTCTTGCAGATACTACTACCATTGAAGCAACTAAATCTGACAAATCTTTATCAGAAAAAGAAATTGTTGAAAAAGTTTGTGAGGTCGTAAATGATGATTTTTTAACATTTGAAGTTTGTCAAAATAAACAAGAATGTTTAGAAATTTGTCAGTCATTAGTGACTAGATTGAAATCTACTTTCAATCCTACATCAGTTGTTACACTGTCCTCGCGACAAGAGGATGACGAAGATGACGAGGAGGAGGAGGAGGAGGAAGAAGAAGAGGAAGAATCTGAACCTGGAATATGTGAACTATGCCATAGGCGTATGCCACTTTCATTTCATCATTTAATTCCTCGTAAGGTGCATAAAAAAGTATTAAAAAAAGGTCTATTTACTAAAGAAGAATGTTTGACAAGGGGTACAAATATTTGTAGACCTTGTCACAGTGCTTGTCATAAAATGATTTCTCATGAACAAATGGCCTATGAATACAATACTGTGGAGAAATTATTAGAACATGAAGGCGTAATAAAATTTGTTACATGGGCATCGAAACAAAAAGAGTATGCGGTGGGTCACGTAATTAGAGGAATGAAATATCCGAAATAAGTTATTTATTTCCATTGCATACGTACTATTACAGTAGTTTTAGTAACAGGTACCTACCATACTAGAATTAAATATACTACCATAATCGCATCTAATAAATGTCTTTATCTATCATACATGTATACTTATTTAATATAAAAGAATGAATAAATTATAATTCACTATAATTCACCCGCATCATCAACAATTAATTCACTTTTAACTCTCCGAAAACATTCTTCAACCTCCCATTTCCAATCAGTCATCGATACAGCCAAAAATATTCCAACAGCCATGCTTATAGAAGCACAAGTAACACCTGTCCAAAGTCCTTTTAAACCCATACTAAATTTAAATGCAAACATGAGACCCAAAGGTAAACCAATTAAATAAAAGGCTGGAAGAAATATTGCAGCGACTATTTTTAATCGTCCTTGCCCTCGAAGAACACCACTTCCTATGTTACCAACACCATCAGAAAGCTATATTCGTATATAAAATTAATTAACATATGATTAAATTTTCTATTGCTCATGATGAAGAAGAGTAGATGTACCTGAAATATAGCTGCTAATGGTAGAATTGATGCTACCATTTTTACAACATCTTCGTCATGTGTGAAAAAATATCTAAAGAAAATATTATAAAATGAACAAAAATATCATTAATGTTAGATATTCTTTTTATACAACCTTCATATTTTTATTCTTTTTGTTTAAAAGTCGTTTTACCCTATAGAATCCTTAAAGCAAAGTAATATCATTGCATTGCATGTAGCACCGATGACAGCAAGCAATAGTGACGTGTTTGTAGTTATTATTGCTCTGTTTGGTAAGCCAGCACCTAATAAATTACCAACTCTATTTGATGCAGCTACTGCCAAACTATGTGGTATCTGAAATAATAACAGCGTACTCGTAAGAATTAATCGATGACTTGCTAAAGATACACTTCCAAAATAACCCGCACATAATGCGATTAATTCATAAATCCACCAATCTGCGCATGATGTTAACATTCCTGGTAATGCAAGTCTCGTGAATGATGACCAATCTTTGAAACTTGAATGCGACCATCCTCCCCAAACATCATACCCATCAATGTATTTTATATAAAGGAATGTAAGTAATAACATTAGCCAATGTATTATTGTAGTAGCAATTGGCGCACCGATGTAACCAAGAGATAATGGCCCCCAAATAAGAACATAGTTAAGGAAAATATTTATTGGACAACATATTGCAAGAACATATGTTGTTGCCTTCATGATACCTAATAATAAAAGGAAATTAAGTTACAAAAATATAAACTTATGAATTATTCAGAAAAAAAAAATTTTTGTTTACCTTGACCTTGCAAGAATTTTTCCAAACACCAAAAAATAAGGGCAGGTGGCGCTCCCAAAAGTAAATAACGTAAATATAACGCAGCATAATGCGATAATTCTGCATCTTGCCCCAGATAAATCAGAATTTGTTCAGATAATAGCCAAATAATTCCTATAGGTATGAATCCAATCATCATTATGATGATAGCTCGTTGCGTGTATATACCAGCCATTTTCGGGTTTCCTGACGTATAACCTTGTGGACAAAGTGTATCCAATGCCGCCGTTGCGCCAAATCCCAATGACCAACAAGTAACCGCAGCACACTAATAAATTATTAATAATAATAACTATAAATATCTGATATTATCACTGAAAATTATTATATCAAATATTACTTTGATTTACCATAGTTCCTAAAGCGAGACCAGCTAGTTCCGCTTGTCCCTTTTGCAGTTTTAGGGCAAGGTTGCATATAATTAATATGATAATATTTAAATTTTTTTTTTAATTATTATTATTAAATCTTACCAAATGTCCTATAAAGAATACATTGGTAACTTGTAGAACTTGTAGAAGCAAAAACGCAAAAAAGGCTGGAAATGCCTTTTTAAGAAGATAAATTGCTTCTCGAGCGCTGAAAGTTTTTATTTCAATTACATCATTTAATCGAATACCAAGGTTAGTGTTATTTGTTTCTGAAATTAATGGTGATCTTTCATCAATTTTCACACGTTGATCAAATCCGTTAGGTTCTCTCCGCGAAGATGAAGACATTATGTATTATTAAATTTCGCTTTTTTTCAGAGATCACCAAGATTCGGATTTTATTAAATATTAGTTTTCTGAATTAATGTATAGACATGAGAAATAATGCTGTATGTCGGTAATAAGGATAAGCCATGTATGGTAGCTGCGGACTTTAAGGAATATATATACCAATTATTTGGCCATGTGCTTTGTATCATGCTTGCATATGTTACCCAAATCAAGTTCATTTAACGTTAAATGGTAATGTTGACCATATTTAATTTTGTCTTTTTTTAGTTAATAGTACGCATATTGTTAATCATCTTTGTTGATTTCAAGGGTAAATGCATGTCCATAGATAATATTAGTAACGATAAGTTTTCACTATGATATAAACTAATTTTTAATTTTAGTGCATATTAGGGGGCATCCATAATTTATGTATATGCGTAGAAATAAAGACCTTGAAGATAATACCATAGTATTATTATTGTATTATCTTAGATCTCTATAACGATAACGATAACAATACTGGTTTAACGTAAATTATGGGTGCCTCCTTAAACCTAATACGTAACTTGTATGATTTATATAAAATTGTAACTGCTCTCTATCGCTATACTTGTTTTAAAAATCACATCTAAATATTTTAACTTTAATCAGGATTTTTATGCGTTTTTGATTCACGGGTCCATTCTTTTTTGATTGACAAAAAAAAAGGGTCCACTTTTTATTAGAACAAAAAAATAAATTAAATTAAAATATTTCGGGAATCAACTAATCAAATTTAATGAATTTTTTTTTAAAAAAATCATTGAATTTGATCCAGTGGTTGTGGAGATATCTTCGCTCAAAGTCAGAGAAAAATCAAAACGCCTATCTAAATAGAAGCTGCGCCAATTTTTTAGAGCGAAGATATCTCCACAACCACCAGACCGAATTCGATGAAAATTTTTTTATTTGAATCCTATGCATCCATAGAATTTAAATAAATAAAAAAAATTCATCGAATTTGGTCTGGTGGTTGTGGAGATATCTTCGCTCAAATTTTTTTTAAAAAATGAAAAATTATTCAACTGATCATCACGATTGTCGGTATTTCCACTTTCCACAGCTTAATGTCTTTGGCATCAATGTTAGAGAAAATTCGTGCATTCTTCTTGATAGCATCCTTGAACTTGCTAATAGTCTTGTTCTTCTCGATATCAACTTCAAAAGCGTTGAGAGAAATAACAGATTGGGCGTGTTTTTTGATGGCTAAGATTTTCTTTCTCTTCGTCGTCACGTTTTCGTTTAGCCCTTCCACATTCTTCGATCACCCCCTGCCGGAACGTTCGCAAGTCTTTCTTACGTTGTGAACGTTCTGTATTTACCTGTTGTGAAAAGGGATTAATAGTAGTGCATTTTTTTATTTAGCAGTAAAAGAACCAATTACTCCTCTAGAACCAGTAGACTTTTACCAACAGCAAAACTAGGATGCCTGAATTGAGAGTTTGGAGTGGATTAGGGATAGGAATCGATTTAGTCGACTAAATCATACAGCCTTAGAGTGTTACCAAGCGAACAGACCCAGTAATTATCCTGAGCCAAACACATGATCGGCTAAGGAGTTACCCTCCCTTTGCAAAATAAAAAAAACGCACCTTATCGTCAAGAGTAAAATATAAATTTCTAGCTTCAAATAAGAAGCGACCGGCCCAAAGATTATCGAGATCGTTCCAGTTTAACGAAGAAGAACTTATGGAAGAAATTATGATATGCCGATTAAGTTCAAGAAATCCTCGATACGACTTGTTATTGATGGTTCGTAAGTAAGAGACCAGTGCTAGTAAATTGAAAAATTGG